GCAGGAATTTTTGCAACTAGGATATCCTCCTAACATGGTGAGAAAGATGACCGGAAAGGCCAGAATGATACCCTGGAACAGCTTGCTACAAGACAAGCCCAAAGACAATGACAACAGAACACCACTGGTGGTCACCTACAGCTCACAACTCAAGCCAGCTCAACCCATTATTAATGACCTACAACCCATGCTGGACAGTGACATTTCCCTCATGCAGGCACTGGGTGGCCGACCTTTTTTTGCTTACAAACAGCCTCCTAACCTAAAACAACTTCTCACCCACAATGATAAACTACTGAACAGCATCATGGACTCTGGTATGATGGCCTGCAACAAACCAAGATGACAACTTTGCTCTCATATAGACCCTAGCAACACCATCAGTGGACCCAGTAACATCAGCCGCACCACTTCAGTTCACACTACTGCTCATCCTCTGATTTGATTTATGCTATCATGTGTCAGCTATGCCCTTCCACTTCAACAAAGAATTCATGGACATAAGTCTGACATTAGGAACCACAACATTCAAAAACCAGTGGGGGAACATTTTAACTTTCCAGGACATTTACTGACCTAAGGATAGCAGTTAACTTACAAAGGAATTTCAAAGGGAGATTTGAAAGAGAGACTGCTGAATTGCAACTGATAATGATGCTCAAGACTATGCATCCACCTGGACTTAACTGAAATCTAGGGTTTCTGTCTCATTACCAATGCTGATTTCACCATGCCTTCTGCCCCTCTGTATATGACACCTAATCATGCCTGCTATTGTCATTCGGCATCTGAGATCACCCCACTTTCTAATGTATAGGACAGATGGACTTGCATTCTAGCTATATCTGAAGAAGTGAGCAGTGATTCACAAAACCCTGCCACAAATTTTGTTAGTCATTAAGGTGCTATTGGACTCTTGCTCTTTTCTGTTGCTACAGACAAACACAGCTACCCATCTTGATGTTTTTCTAGATAGCTGATAAGTCCCCAGTTATGTAGAATCCCATGCCTTGTTTGTGGGCAGTGATCAGTTTTATGGCTGTGATCAGATATAAGAATCTGTTATGCACAGAAACTAGCCTGTCAGAGAAATGGCAAGGCTGGAACTCTTCTTACTGACATGCTAGTTTTCTATGTCGAAGGAATGATTTCTGTATGGAGGAATATTCCATCACATGAGGCTCCATCTGCAGCCTGAAATGGAAGAAATGGTCAAAACCAGACTCCGGTTGACCACCATGATGAAAAGTTTGCTTTCTCAAGAGGAAAGTCTCCCATCTTATGAGCAGATCTGTGCGTAGCCTACTTGTCAGTTTTAAAGTCACCGTTCCTTTCTCCACTACACAAAAGCTGGATTCTTCAACCTGTATAAATTATGCACATTTGCTATCTGTGAAGCCCACCTTGTGGAATAGCCTGCCAGAGAAGGTCAGGAGGGTTCCCGCGCTTCTTGTCATTCCACAAACTATGTAAAACAGAGCTGTTAAGAAGGTACTTTCTGTAAAGGTTGTACTGTCACAGAATATAGATTCTGGTGCGAAGCCATGTTGGCCTGAAGCAGCAGAACAATATTTGAGTCCAGCGGCACCTTTAAGACCAACAACATTTTATTTTGGTTGAAAGCTTATACCCAGAATAAAACTTTGTTGGTCTTAAAGGTGCCACTAGACTCAAACTTTTGTTCTGTAGCAGAATAGTTCAGGAACGCGTTTTACAAAGGGAAA